CTTTCCTTTCACAGATGAAATATTTGTATAATTACTAGGCTGAAAGGGCAGGGGAGGAACGGGGGAGACAGCTGTGAGCTGTGGTGGAAGTCTGCCCAGATGTCTGAGGCATCATGATTTATGTACCACTGTAACAGTGTTTTACTGTAGTCATTTGCATCTGATGACATGAATTCCCTACAGAAAGGCAACTGCAGCGAATGTAGCCCAAAAACTTATTTCTGTCATCTAGAAAGCACAAACAATCTTTTGCAGGCCGGGTCACAGCCTCTCCTCTGCACACGATGCCCATGCTGATGGCCTGACGCAGGGCAGAGGCATTCCAGAAGTCAGGCAGAGGAGCGCAGCACCACTCGGCAGCCTGCTCAGACAGCCCCTGGGAGGGGCCAGGAGCATGTCAGCGCTTCTCACCACCCGCCTCTTTCACAGAAATGCACAGAATTAATTGGCTTTCTCAGCACATCCACCTACAGCTGGCTACCACTCCCCACGGCGTTCCTTCCTAGCAGGCAGGTCCCGGAAAGCACCCTAGTAACATCCAGATCAACCACTTCCAGACAGTCAGAAATTATCCAATGCCTTCAATTCGTCATATTCAGGCTCCCCATAATCTCTTACTCTGCTCTTCTTCTGAGCAGCTTTCAGGGGGCTTCTATTCCTGGGAACCGACTGCTATACTTTCAGCTTGGGAGCTGCTAACTCTAGCAAACCAGGGAAACTTCAATTTCCAACCCTCTTCCAGCTGGATGGGTTTGAGGGCTCCTAGGATGCTCCTAAGTGGCAACTTTTGGTACATATTATACCTCTCTCAGAACTAAACAAAACAAAGCCAGTTCTCTCCGGTTTTATGATCTCTCCCAACCTCTGACCACTACGCCCCCCACTTGTTATTTAGGGACAGAGCCTTCAGTAAAATCAGGCAGGCAGACAGCTCCTTACTCCTCAGATGGAAAAGTGTAACATTCCTAAGCTCTTATCTAACAGTTCCTTAAACCAAAAACATTCCTCAGTTGTAGGCAACAGCTGTAAAACAAGGAGACTGACGCAGCTCACTAAGGATGACTACAGGCAAGGCACAGGTGTAAGTAAATAATTATGTAATCCCAAGAGCAGATAGACCTCGGCCATCCCAAGGTCTGCAGATGCTCTTCACAGCTTCACGAAAATCAAATGAATTGCTCTGCCTCTTAGCAGAGCATAAAATCCCACAGAATTGCATCACGAAAGGGTGACACTGTTATCTGGCTGGAAGCAGAGCAGGATTGCCCCAACATAAGGTTTGTCTCCACAAGAGTGTTTTCCTTAGAGGACTATATCAAAGCCTCTGCAGTGGAGCATGAGCTTTTTCAAAGGAAAAGGACCAGGGAGAGTTCTCTCTCCTGCGCTCAGCACAAGGCAAAAATTTCACCTTGCAGAAAATAAAGAGCAAAAATTTGTTTTCATTTTCCTGAAGTTACTGAGAACAGAAGAACACCAACATTAAGATCAGTCCTCTTCTGGAATCAAACAGAAAATCTGTACATCCACATTTCAGATTCCATATTTGCCCTGTACTTCATGAGCATCAGCACAGCCTGGAACAAGCGTTCACACATTTTTAAGTGCATGTTTGCTCGCTGACAGTTAAGCACCACAGTTTCATCTCTGATACACACTGCAATAGGGTAGGATCTTCTGATCACCCATAACACAGCCCAAGCATTAAAAACACAGCTTGGTATCTGGCATGCCACACTGGCCTAGCCGTGTTCAAAGGAGGCCCTTAAGGTATTTCATAGACTCATTAGCCAAATTTCACAGCCCCCAGAAGATAGGGGGCTGGAGACATTGCCCTCCCTGTCTTATACACAAGGAAACAAGAACTGCAAATACACAAAGGTGCCACAAGTCCTTGCCAAGGGTCTCCCCTCTAAAGGTAAAAGGGAATTTCTGATCTCCACAAGTGCTGCTCCTTCAACCACTTGTGCCAGCATAGGAGGAACAGTGATACTGCTCCTGAGTGACCCACAAACAATTTTAGATAATCCTTTTCCCTTTCTGTTCTGCAGTAAATTATCTCCCCTCTGACTAACCTGTTACCACATACTCCAGCCCTTCCCCATGTGCACATGCCCAACTCTGGCAACCCCAGCTGTGACTGACCAATAAAGCCCTACAATGGAAGAAGGCCTAGAGGAGCTGGGCAAGGGCGATGTGCCTACGAAACTCAGAAAATAATGCAGGGCGTGACTGACCACAGCTTTTGCAAAGAAGCTGACTATCTCAACACAAAGGGGACCAGAGGGTGTTTGTTTTAGATAAACAGTTATGTCAGTTGAGTGGATCAACTGGTAGTATAACTCCCTGCATTCATTAAAAGAATGCGAACGCTTCCCTGAGTTAGCCAGACCAGCATGGGGGGAGTGAATACATGGCTCTGCCCAACACAGAGTATAAAAACTAAACCACAAACAAAAGAATTTCAAAGAGAGCAGCAGGCTTGAGCTGGCTTCAACCCACGCAGTCCCTCCTGGCAACTGAGAACGCCCAGCGTCGGGACAGTGAGTATATTATAGAGACCAGTAATGGAAATCCTATTGGTATATGGTGATTGAGCTGTGTATTGCAATTGCTGTGTTTTGCCAAAAGTAACTTACATCTGTATTGTGTTACCAGTATATTTGTATCACTCTGCTAAATCAGAAACCTCATGTAACATAAATACCTTCAGATAAGTAAATCTGATATTAAACATTATACCCTCCACATGTGGAATATCTAAAAGAACCTGGTCAGAGTACTGCACTCTTGAACCAGCCTACACAGCCTATTTACAGATCTCTCCTGGTGGCTCTGCCCCTCCACATGCACAGCCCAGCTCACCTTCGTCTGATTTCATCATTGCCTGGTCTTAGCCTGCAAGCTCGCAGGAGATGTGGAATGGTGCCAGTGCAAACTCTGTCCTCTGTGGCACAGCAAAGGAGGGAGCTGGGAACGCTGCACACACAGGATTGTGCAGCAGTATTGGCCAACATGTTCAGCCCCACTACTTCCTATTTTTGTGTCCTCAAGGAGGGCGTAAGTTATGCTTTGTGCAGTTGCCAAAGGGGGAAGGGCTCATCTCTCAGAGCTGGGAGGGTGAAGGGGATTGGGAGGGTGAAGGGGATTGGGAGGTGGGTGGGAACATGAGATGGGAGACACAAAAGGAGCTTTCCCATGCCGTGTTGTTCCCCTCCCGCTCCTCAGGATGCGCTTTATACTCTTATTTTAAGAGTTGCTGCACTGCAGGGCATTAGAGGATCTGCAGCGGTATTGTTCACACAGCTGCTTCCAGGACTGGACTGCTGCCTGCAATCAACCACCATGGCAACTGGACTCACCCTGCCTGCCTTGTGCCAAGCTCACGTTGCCCCACTGGCTCACCAGCAGCCCCTGCATCACAGCTGTGACTTTAGAAAACACTAGATGCCAGCAGAGAACATGCCTTTATCCATAGCCTTGTCCTGTACATATCTTTTTTTAGTGCATACTACCACATGGTTTGTCCTAGCCGTGTCCTTCAGTGAGGAATTAATTCTACCAGGTACAATCTTCTCCCTTCAAATACACCACCTTTAATTTCAAAAAAGCAACCTCAGTGCTGGCATAGTAGAGCTAGTCGTTGAACTACATGCAAACACTACCTGAAGGTAGCCAGTACTATACCTGGCTACAGACAAGGATGAGACAGAGAAGTGGCTTGTCTTGGTCTTGCCGGTACACTGCCTATGCAGAATGCTGAGAAAATACTTACTGGCAATCAAGGGGATTCCCATTTTCAGCACTAGCTTCTTCAGTTCGAAGACTGGTTCAGTATCACCACCTGGTCTCCCAGCCTTTGCCCAAGCTTCGACTCAGCCCTTTGCACACAGAGACCGCATCTTTCGATAGGATGCAACTCACCTCGTTAACAATATGCTGGACTTCTGGAGTAGCAGACTTGGTCTCAGATAAGCCCCCAGGCATCATAGTGGCAGGTAACTTCTCTGAAATGATGAGTGGTTCTGAAGAGGGAAGTTCAGCGCAGTCTGAGCAGAGTCACCAGGCTTCTCATATATATACATATACACATACACGTGTCATGGAATCATATGACTTGCAACATATGGAGCCTACCATTACTGAACTGGAGGAGGGAAATGGGGAAAACAGGGGAAAAACATGGGAAAAAAAAGAAACGTAAAGCACTGACAGTATTAATAGTAAATGTAAAAAGCACTTTAAAATCTTAAGTGTATATAGTCTCCACATCCATAAGAAAAGCAAACAACAGCCTCCAGACACCCACATCTTAAGACAGTTGGTTTGGGCTGAAACTAGAACCTCTTGCCTCTCCACCCATGTGCAGATGACTAGCCTGTGCACTTAGGAAATGGATCGAAGTCACACCCAATGTTTCCCAACACCATTCAAGATCAGAAGAAAGCATGCAGTAATTTCCTTGGTGCAGGTCCCGTTCAACTTGAAATTGTATTGCCTCAATATCCTTCCAAGTGGGAAACAGAGTCAAATTGCATTTTACTTTCAGTGACTTTACTTCCCTCTGCCTGACCAGAAAGGTGCCAAGGGAAACACCAAAACCAGAAGGGGGAAAAAATTAAATCCTAGGTTCGGGTAAGTACTGCAAATAAGTTATTTCTGCTTCTTTCCTATCAAACCTATAGGTGCATTCAGGCAAGCATAACAACTGAATATGCAGTACCATTTACATTTTTATTGAAACTCTAGTGCCAATTTCCTGGAAGACAAAGTATGATCTCTCTCACTACAGTAGTTGTGTGTGCACAATAGCTGCTCTAATTTCAAGATACTTGTATTTCACACACTGCTGAAATATGCAACATGCAGAATATATAGTCAGAAGTACTCATTCTGCAGTTACAGCCACCGACACATGACATAGTCATGACTATGTATGAATGTACAAAGGTCAAAACACATGGAACCTACTGAGAAAGGCAACTGTTAGCAGCCCTACCTGGTAAGGGAGAGCTAACACTCCAAGATCAGAGAAAAACTACTTCCCTTCGGTATTCCTGCCATCCCCCTCTCCAGCAAATGGGAAGAATGTTGTTCCAGAGCGAGGACCAGAGAAGCAGGAACAGACCAGACAATTTTTAGTCCCTAGGGGTGAGTACATGGGAGGGTGTGAAATGAGAATATGTGCTGCACACAGGCAATGGGCATTTCTGCTGGAATCAGCATTAGGGAATTCGCTAGAAACAAGTCTGTTCATGGCCACAGCAATGGTGACTGTGTAGCACAGACTTACTAGTGTCCTAAGCAGCCTGCTGACCCTTTTCACATACGATGAGTGATGCAACAGACTGTAAACAAGTACTTCATATCTAACTTCAAGGCCTGTTTTTGGGACAAAGGACCTGAGATTGAGAAACTGGGTCGGTAAGGGCCCTAAATTCAACAGTATATAGATCAAGGTTAGAGCATGTTACCGATAAGGGTGTTGCAGAATTTCCCAAACTTGAGCAGCAGTGTTATGGGAGTGGATGAAAGGCATTTGAGGAAAAACAGTTGTTCTGAGACAACATCTTTCTGAACAAAGAGAAAAATGTTCCCAGTTCTTGGGAATAAAGGGAATGGGAGGTGTTAAAGCTGGAAGTCTGCCATTTTCTCCAAATTCACCACTCCAGATGAAGAGTTCCTCACAGCCCGATTTGTGGAGTTAATGACAATTCAAGCTGATAAGCTCAAACTCCACCTTTTGCACAAGACCCTGCTGATTCACTCAAATGCTGATCATCTTCCACCATATTGCTACCATGCATCTTATTCACACAGCAGGACAGATGAGCTAACTAGCTGGAAGAGCCAGCTCACCTTACTGAGGCCAGAAGCCACAGAATGTGTCCAACAACATGCAGCACCAGTGCTAAACCAGGACATTTTATAAACTTCTTCACTCACCGGGATGCAGATCGCACTAACTCCCTTGGGAAAGGATGCTGATAAGATCCCCAAGGCAGCACCACCCCTCTGGAGAACCCTTGATTCTGATTAGTAAGAAATACACTGAGCACAAAGACTAGGAGGGTTAATTTATAATCTTGGGAAAACTCCAGGTGTGAAACTAAAGATGTTAATATTGTGTGAAAATGATTCATTAGACTCCATATTTCTGGATTTGCTGGGTTTTGACTTCAAAGCATAAGAACTTCCCCCCCCCCCCCCCCCACCCCCGAGGCGTGGAGAATGCAGACTTGTGCAGAGGGGAAGGAAAATCAACACTAATTGTCAGCAAGCTGATGCTAAAGTTTACATAGGCAAATCAGTCTTGTTTTCTTTCCATGGGAGTGCTAATGGCCATCCCAAAATCCAGTGATATTTCTAAGATTGGGATTCAGTACTCATCCTGCACACATAGTTCATGAAGTCACTTTGAAATGATGACATTTCACAGACCTGCTATCAAAGACAATCAGTGGCAATGGACTATCCTAGGCAACCCTCATCCACACCTCTCTCTCTTAAGCTTTGGATGTAATGAAACAGCATTTGGAACATTGCCTTGAAAACAACAGCCGTCCCCATTGCATCTCTTGCACAACATCAACAAGCTAGTGAGTGTCTCCACTTCAGTACTGGAGACGTGTTTGATATGACATACCATTCCAGCCTACACTCACCATTTGCACAGATGGCAATTTCTTTTCACGTAACTGTACTGCTGTTAACTTGGAGAATCTGTGCTGGGAGAACAGCACTAGTATTCTTTACAGTTTTAAAGCTGAGAAACATCTTGCGCTATGTACTATTCCAATAATGAAGAAACAAATCTTTACAGCTTGCAGGCCACTACTCTCTGGTCCTGCATAAGCAATTTTAAGAAGTAGAAGCTATAGTCAATAAAAACACCAGTACAGTAACAAAACCCCAAACCCCAGGGTTATGTTATTTATGAGTTATTTTTAAACCAGAAATTAAGCCACCCCTGTAGAAATGATTGTGAAAGCTAAATCAGTAGGTCAGTCTTCTGGTTTCGCCGTGACAAGACACGTAATTGTGACTGGATGAAGTGACACATGGTCTGCACTAAATTTTAAGAGCTGCCAAAGGAAAGCAGCCCTCCATCTACCAATTGAGGATCTACTTGTCATCGTCACAGTAACAACAGCCTTGACTTTCAACGTGCTAGTCTGCAAAGAAGGTTCCCCTCCTGCTACCCACCCTGATTTCAAAAGATTTCTGACATTATACATCAACTAGGATTAATAGAAACCTGAACTTTAGCAGCACAAAGTTCTCATATCCCTGCCTACGCTGAGCCTGTGGTACCAGTACAGAGCCTCTTCCCCTCAGCCTGCTTCAAGGCAACCAAATTCTATCCTTAAGAAATTTCTGTAAAGAGATTACCTATTTTATCAGCCTTGAGTGCCTACAGGCTGCAGAAGACAACAGCAATGAGCGTCAGAAAAAAACACCTCTTTCTATTTCACAGAAGGATATAAGAAGCACACACTTAAGAGGGCTTTCCAAGGAACCAGGATCTGCCCACCTATATTCACCATTTCCAAGCAATGGGAAAGCCCCAGGAGAGGGGGAAGCCACCTGCAGGAGATCTAGACTCTGGGCAGGGGCATCCACTGTGCTTTCTGTTCAAGTGCCTTTACTTGCAGAAATAAAGTTAGAACCAGGAAAAGGATGAAATCCTAGTATTTGTGGGGTCCATTATTTGATTCACATATGACATCAAGCACGCAAGTAATTTTGTGACTACCTTGATGGTAAAGTTGAAGCAGGATTCAACTGCAGACTAGGCATGATCCTAGAATGGACAGGGCTCACTAGACACAGAGATTTTACCTGCCTTTGTTTAGTATGGTCCACAGCTCATACCAATGCCATTTACATACCATCACAAAACATCCCGCTTCACAGGCAGATCTGAAGTACTCAAAAAATAGCAAAGCCTTTTTCTCCTTCCCCATGCCCCAAAGCATGGCATGCAATTCCAGTTACTCACCTTAACGTTCCACTAAGTTCAACAGCAAGATTCAAACAGCTTCTGATCCATGTGATTTGCCATGTACTGTAAGAGATATCCCTCTGTGCTCAGAGCAAACTAAATAGAGTAATTCAACTTCTTAGTGCAACCCTTCGCATATAAGCTGCAAACACCTGAAGAAGGGATGTTTGGGACTTAGAAGTCTTCTTATGGTGTCAGCAGTTTTTCATATACAGGTTTGTATAGATCTACTTGTTTGGCCTTATATTCAAACGAAAAATAGTGCTATGTTGGGGTTGGGTTTTGTTTTTGTTTTTTTTTTTTTTAACATAGTTTTCTCATAACAAATGCTAAGCTGGGCTACTGCAAAAAAAAAAATAAATCTGCGCATGTATCACATCCATTTCACAGGTCATTTTTCACAGCATCTGCTAAGTGAAGAAGCTTTCCCACAACAGCTGAGCAAACATCTGGATGGATAGAGGAGGACAGTGATTAATTCTCATTACAATCTCTAATTACTACAGAAGTACAATACATGCTTAAATTTCAAGAGTACTGATGCCAACTCTATACACGCTGGCAGAAGTTTCTATCATACAGCTGGCTTAAAAGGAGAATTTGTCCCCGCAGTTGTAGATCCAAGCCCTGGAGAGAACAAATATTTTAGACACCTATACTAGAGGTCAGTATTAGAGCACCAACTTTGAAATCAAAAGTGTTCTCAACATCTCATTAGTGGACCATCTCCTGTGGAAATTAGGTTACTGGCAATTCAGCCCACAGTTCCGAGCAGTATTTGATTTCCACTTTGAGATAAACAATTATAAGAATTTAACAGTTGAAGAACAAACATGCTTTCTGCTTTCAGAGTTGCAGAAAAACAATGAGAATACTTCAAAAGCGAGACGAGCGCTCCAACTGGAGTAAAGTTCTGCTTAGAGCAGTTGCAGTACCTTGGGAAAAAAGGAAAAAAAAAATGATGTTTGAACATTAGGATTTACAT